CGGCTGCTCGGGGCACCCCCAGCTGACGGATCCAGGGCATTTTGGGGGGTCTCCGTCCTTGGGGACAATGTGGCTGCTGTCACCAAAGGCGTGAGCGCGCTTGAGGGCTTGGTGGCACTCGGGGCTCCCCCGAGTTTTGGCTGCTGGGGTGGCCCTGGTGACACGGGTGACACTGAACAGGGTGACACGGGTGTCACTGAGCGGGGTGACACGGGTGGCACTGAGCAGGGTGACACGGGTGACACTGAGCGGGGTGACACGGGTGGCACTGAGCAGGGTGACACGGGTGACACTGAGCGGGGTGACACGGGTGGCACTGAGCAGGGTGACACGGGTGACACTGAGCGGGGTGACACGGGTGGCACTGAGCAGGGTGACACGGGTGACACTGAGCGGGGTGACACGGGTGGCACTGAGCAGGGTGACACGGGTGACACTGAGCGGGGTGACACGGGTGGCACTGAGCAGGGTGACACGGGTGACACTGAGCGGGGTGACACGGGTGGCACTGAGCAGGGTGACACGGGTGACACTGAGCGGGGTGACACGGGTGGCACTGAGCAGGGTGACACGGGTGACACTGAGCGGGGTGACACCCGGCTCAGCACCCACCGCAGCCAGGGTGACCCCGCGCCCCAGACGCGCCTGTGACACCGGGGTGGGGGTGACACGTCCGGCCACCAGCGGTGTCCCGGTGCCGCTGCCGAGCCCGGGCTGGGCACCGGGGGCTCCGGGAACCTTCTGGCACCGCCTGGCCCTCGTGGCCTCCACGTGCGGGGACCTTGGCGACACACGGGGGCCTCCCCGCCCCTCGCGACCTTCCCGGTGACCTTGGCCCACCCCTGGGGACCCTGCGCTGGGTGGGCACCGCGGGGACACCCCCTGCTCAGCGCTGGGGACCCCCGCCCTGCCGTGGGGACTCGGGGCTCTACAGGGGCGTGTGCGAGATTTGGGGGGACACCCCCCCCCCGCCCCCCTCCGTGAGGGCTCTGTGGCGGTGCCGGGGGCTGCGGGCACAGCCGTGTCGCCCCCCGGGTGGCCGCGGGCGGGGGTCGGCGGTGGCCCGGCGGGGGCAGCCAGGCGGAGCGGCTTTGTCCTTCGGGCTGAGCCGAGCGCGTGGGGGAGGCGCAGGGAGAACCCGGCGCGGCGGCTTTGTCTGGGGACGCCGGCGCGGTGGCGACCGAGGGGGGGCGTGGGGAGCCCGGACCCCCCCGCTGCAGCCCCCCCCGGGACCCCCCAGCCCAGCCCCAAGCACCACGAGCAGGTAGGGGGGGGGTCCCCCGGGCTGCGCGACCCCTCCCCGGGCGGGCGGGATGGGGATGGGGTCTCCCCCCCTTTTGGGTTGGGGGTGTCGCGGGGAGGGGGATCACGGCTCTCTGCCTTCCCTTGGGATGTCGCCGTGTCCCCGGATCCAGCGGCGGTGCCCGGGTGTCCCGGAGGGGCTCTGGGGAGGGATTTTCTCGGGGAGACCCCGGCACCAGGCGGGGATTCCCCGGCGCCGCGGCGGGGCCGGGGAGCTTCGGGTGTCCCCGCGTGTCCCCGCGTGTCCCCGCGGGTGTGCCACCCCCTGTGCCACCCCCAGCTCCTGGCGGGGGGGTGGGACACACGGACACCCCACGGGTGACACCGATCCTGCCTTGGGGAAACCCCCCCAGCCCCGGGCGCTGTCCCCACCCCGCTGTGCCGGGGGGGCGACACGGGGACGGGGACGGGGGCTCCGGGGGTCGCCACCACCGAGGGTGT